CTGACAGATTACTTCTGGAGGTGTAATTAAACATAGCTGATGAGTTGCTGGTACTGTATACATTTGTCTTCTTTTTGAGGCAAAAAAAAGTTCCCACTGTACCATATGGATGAAACAATAAGACAGCTTCCCCATTTATATACTAGACTGTTCCAACCCTCTAGTTGCTTTTACAAACACAGATCTCGGGGTATTGGATACATCATATACTTGAGAAGAAGAATAAAACTCGATGAAGTTCCAACAATATTATTTCATCATTTGATTGACAATTTCATTGTCTTTTCGTCATTGTTTATTTGTAGATTTAAATCGTAATATTAATATTAAACTCAAATGCAGGCCAATGTCATTTACAAAATATCACCGAAATCTGTGACGGGTGGGTGTGAAATTGAACTTTGGTGGGATGATTCGGCATGGAATGACCCTGTACTTTTTCAACTGAAATCTATAATCAAAGCATTGCCTTATTGGGGGGAATGCGGCAACATTGCTGATATTCCATCTTAGCATATTTCATCTTTAGATTCTATTTTATATATACAACTATTTACTCATTATGACTAATATTTTTTACACCTATTATTTTCACTTATCTATATATGAAATAGGGAGTGGGGTAGCTCAGTGGTAGGATACTGAGCTTCCAATGTTAAAGTTCCCAGGTTCGAATCTCGGCTCATGGTAGAAATTATTTATTTAATCTGTTTCATTGGCCGTGGGGCGACCTGCGTAGGTAGACCCTCCTAGGGCACACCCAGCCTCTATAAAGTGGGTACCCTTAATTAAAATAATAAATTAAGGAGGAAAACGTGGCGGTTGAGCGTGATCTCGGTCACATCACCTCCTCGCACAACCGTTGACCTAGAAACAGTGCTTTCCCTAAATAGTACTGAACCCCAAGACCCTTCATGGGTTGTAGTGGTACAGGTTTGTTTATATATGAAATATATAGTAAGGGATATTATTTTTATATGCTATATATGTATGTGGCAATTGTGAAAGAAATAAAAACTAACGACAGAGCCCTTTGTATCAGCGATGTTGCTCGTGCTATGTTTTTTCGTCAATAAAAGTAAAAACTCTATAATCCGTTTCGCATAAGACGCATTTTTAAATGGCAAATAATCAGAAGATGTTGAAAAATTACAGATAAGATGGTACGATTGTCTTCCTTTCAGGTTAGATGAGACACCTCTTTCAAAATCTGTTTAATTATCAGCATGGAAGAGTCCATTGAGTTATTAATTATATTAGTAATAATTGACAATTAAATATTGGGTAGACGAAATCTTTCACTTTGAAACTGACCTATGGATGATTATGCTAATGCTAAATACGATAACTAATTAAAAGTGTCATCAAAATAATGCTTGTGCCAGATAACGCAGCTCCAATACGGACGCAAATGGAAGGTGTTGTGGTTTATAATATCTGCTAAAAAATTTTACCAAACAAATATGTTAATACGATACTCAATCCTAAACTTTTGAAAAGCATGATTTTCTTTGGACAGGTCTGTAAGCTCAGTTATACTGCATTACAGCTCCTAAATGGACGTACTGTGAGATCAGTTTTTGTTCGGGTTACTATTAACCGCTGAATAACAATTAATAACTTAAAAGTATTGGATTGCAATTAAAGGAAAAAAAGGTTCTTCACATTGGGTGGATGTTACAACACTCAAATCTGGGAAAGCCTACTACCTCCAACATAATCACTGATTACTATATACATCCAGTCCAGATAACCCTAAACAGCGCAGTTGAGCTTAGGTTTAGGGTTGTCTAAGTTTAGATCGATTTGAAGTTCTTCCTTGTTTTCCTACCGCAGCGAAATCCTAATGTTTTGTTGGCACTGTGATAGGCGATTAGATTATATAGTTTTGTTAGGAGCTGCTAATTATCTTTTCACTTATCAGGACATCTCCAACTTAAATTTACCTCTATGCAGAACAGGACCTGGAAATGTTCATGGGTCGCGGTGGAGGATTGCAGAATTCCTCCTCACTCCATGTTCAACTACCTTCTTAATTGTAGAGAATATGATTATTGAGAATATGAGATCATTGAAGGTCGTAGGTGAAAGGGTGCTATTTGAAGAAAAGTATCTGGGATAAAATTTTTAATTTTTAATTGTATATTCAGTCAGTTGATTCTTATAAAAAAAAAATTGAAGATTTGATATTTGGCTATCGCATCTTCTGGTTTTAAAAATATTCATTGTTCTTATTTAAATTCTTTTGTTATAATGTATATTCAAGCGTTACATATGGCACCACTGAAACAAAATATGTTTATTAGTAACAATTTTCTCGTTACTAACATCTAATAAATTCTCTGGATTGATTGACCTCAGTTCTATCACTAATTGGTTACCTGACAAACAAGGTTGACTCAGGATTGATTGATTGTTGAAATTAGATAAGCTAATTGGTAATAAATGCTCGCTTTTCAGGAGTCTTAATGTCTCCATCGGTTTTGTTATGATTATATTTTGAACGCTTGAAAGTAGTTAACTCAAACTGTCTAGCTTTTTAGATTAAAATAAATTGGTTTTAACGTCCTACAACTATTTGGTTCGTATGAATTGTGCACCCTGTATATTGGTCAGTGATCAAATAATACTATAATATAGAATTAAGTAAATGGGATGTATTATGAGATGGGAGGTAGAATACCGGTTTTTGGTAGAAGTATCTTCGTCAGCGGAGGTTAAAGTGACCATCCCCGACTAATTCCTTCCACCCGTACACGAATGCTTCGTATTACGGGTAGTTGGTTGTTATGTTTACTTACTAACTGAGGGGAATCGTCCTCCGTGATGATGTTGGGTCCGGTTTCTCTCAGTAGTTTTGCCGTTATTGCTTCAAAAGCGGGGCAAGTCGTGACGATATGCTCAGCAGTTTCCGGAATACCACAACAGGGACATATGGGGTTAATTTCTTTTCCAAAGCCATGAAGCTTGGATGAAAACCCCCATGCCCTGTTAGGAATTGCGACACCCAATAATGGATCTACCGCAATCCTTTCTTGGAGATTTTCCGGAATACTTGCTGAGCCTCCTTTCTTAAGAATATACTTAAGTTTGTCTTCTTGCAGGAGAAGGTCGAGAGGTACCCCTCCTGCTAAAACCTGCACCGCTTCATAGGCAACAGTACTGTAGGATTTGTTACTCGCAGCAGACCCGTTCTCTGGATTGTTGCCAATCTCCTCTTCTGTAGTAGCGAGAGGTGGAGAGATACTATAACCCGTCTAAGGGCCAATTGTACAATTGGAGTTCAAGCTTGAACTTGACTTGAACTATAATGCTCTAATTGAACAACAGGCCCTAAGAAAAGCAGAACTAGGGTTATATGTTCAGGTCGTCCGCTTTTTTTGAGCGAACGGCTAGATCGGTTTTCAAGTTTGATGACTCAAAATATTCGGTTAGATCCCCTGAATAACGCTGTTTTGAGCGAACTGCTTAATAATCGACTTTTAATTTTGATATCTTAAATTATTCGGTAAGATCCCCTGAATGTTTTGAAACGAATTTGGGTTAAAAACACGGACTCGTGATTGAATAAAATGTGTTAAATCATTTTGCTAAAAGCTGTGTGACGATTTTATGAGCTGTATATATTTTTATATTTGATATATTAAATTATGTGGTGTGATCCCCTGAATGTTTTGAAAGCGAAGCAACGCGAGTGTTATTTATTTCGGTTGTACGCTAAAAGGTATGTAACGATTTTTAGAGAGAATGGATGGATCAATTTTGAAGTTTGAAGACTCAAAATATTCATTCACATCTCTAGAGTGTTATGAAACAATTTTAGCCCAAAACTCTGACCTAGATTGAATAAAATGTGTTTAATCAATTTTCTATAAGGTATGTAACCCCTTTTTGGGCGGATGGCTGAACCGATTTTTAACTTTTACTGCTATAATTACTCAGTGAGATCCCGTGAATGTTTTGGAACAAATTGGTCACAAAATACTGATATAGAAATTTATTATAGTTTAAGTATTTCAATTATTAATTTATTTGAAATTATATCATTTGATCATATGCTATGAAAATTAATTGTTAATAATTTGAATTCTAAAAATGTTAAAAAAATATATTTGAATTTTAAAAAATCTAGACTAAAAATTTTTAAGAATTCTGTCCACCCTAAGGGAATGTACTTCTATATCAACTTAAACATCTTGATTAATTGATAGGGTAATTCACATCTACGAAGTCTCAAACTTGGGGTGCCTAACACTTTCGAACAAAACTCTGGACTCGGATGTTTATATTCACCAATATATAGGACAAAATCTATTTGTCTGGAGCCGTAATATGTAGTGAAAGGCACCCGAATACTAAACCAAGTTTAAATATTTCTAGATGTCAGTTTTCCCATCAATATACCAAGATGTTTATGTATATACAAAAGTATATTCCCTTAGGACGAACAGAAGTTCCCAATTTCCTTAATTGAGTTTTTTGTATTCAATTTTTTTTTGTTCTTTGATATCTAAACATGTATACAAATTACAATTGGCTGTATATCTGCTGAAAATGATGCGATTTCGTTAATTTTTTTTTTCATTTTGTAAAGAATTAAGGAAAGTATAGAAAAACAATCTTAAAAATGATAACTTAATCGTTGAATTTGAAGGAATAACGATGACATGGCGTAACGAAAAAAAAAAAAAAAAATCACTATATAAAGATAGAGCTGTGTCAAGCTGGTTACCATAGAAACCATATCACTTTTTGTTAGTTTTTCAATCGAAAACTATATTTCCTGGAGTAATACAGTTTCTAATTATAAGGATAATTAAATTGTTTGACAACTCCTCTGGAAAATAACCTAGTTGATTATTTGATAAGAAGCAAAAATTTTGATAACTTTAAACAGCAAATATGCAAAAAACTAACTAGATGTTTTCAGCTAAGGAGATCGGCTAACTGTGGCTGATTTCAAAATGCAAAAAAAGCCAGAAAATTGCGTGCTCAGCAGCATGCAAAAAGCAAGCCTGCTGATAATCTCTCAGCACTTCCTAGGTAATTGATTTAATTAAACTTGGACAACTTTTGCAAGTTTTTCATCTGTATGACGACTGAAAATATCAAAACTTGCCAAAAATCACGTGAAGATCAGCATAAGAAAAATCGGGATATATTGATCCAGTAGCTTCTCCTGATGGCCGTTTCAATGTAATATGTTAGTTTTGCAAACATGATGATCCATGTATGGAAAAGGAAAGTACTCCGAAAAATGTATGGGCCAAACAAAGTGGAGGCTCAGTGGAGAATCAGATCTATCCTAGAGCTATACGTTGAACATGGCATTGTTGGAGCCACTCAACTCAACATATTGCGACGGTTGGGACATGTGGAAAGGATGGGTCGTACAAGAATGCCGAGAAAACTGGAATAGAAGCCGTTGGAAGAAAGCGTTGAAAACCTTGGCTCAGATGGTTAGACGAAGTATAAGATAACCTGAAGGAGATGGGTGTAAAGCGGTGGAGGCGCTTCGCTGCTGAGAGGGATATGTGGAAGAAGGCATTAGCTGAGGCCATGGTTCTTCAAGGACTGTAGAGCCCAGCAATGAATGAATGTTAGTTTTATAGGAAATGTTGGTTATTCTCAAAGATATTTTAATATATCAATTTGCCAATCATCAGGGATTGCTGAAATAGTATTTAGAGAGGCAAAATGTTAAATTTTCCAAAAAATTTAACCCAATTACCGCGCTATTTAGCGGTTGTGTATTCCACCGAAAATTCTTCGACACTGCCATCTCCAAATTGCGTTTACAAATTATCTCGAGTAGGTAAAAAGAAATTTTGGTTTTCGTCACAACATTGAATTTGTTTATTAATTTTCTGAATTTATCACATTCACGTCTTTTGGTATAGGCTTTTAGTTCTAAAAACTCTTCAAGTATAATATCCAGACGCTATTATCGCAGTTTAAATTTAGTCCTCAACATTTCTAACTTTCCAATGTCGGAAGGTAATATTTATTGACTGCCAATACAAATCAATGTCGTCCAAAAAAAAAATTATTTATTTATTAATTTATTTATTTCGAAAAATTATTAAGTTATTTGTCCGAAAACTTTACCTTCATGTTTTCCTGTTCTGTATAAATGGAGCCCACCAAGACTAGGTTGTAAGAGGGGCTGGGTTCGTAGAGTCTACGATCGATACCTTCTTGAATTAGTTAAGAATAATTTAGTCAAAATCAGAATTTCTTTTTCTCTTCGTCGTGTCTGGAGAGCTTTAATATAGGTTTTACAGCCACGATTGATGCGACTGTTAATTTATTGTTGTAATATTATTAAATAATTCAGTGATCTTTTAAAAATCTTTGTTAGCGGTCACACAACTCTCGCTTACCACCCTCTTTTTAGCAGAAATAAGTATTTTCATACAAAGGTAAGGTGAAAGTAAAAAATTATAAACGCTATACCGATGTATATTTCATTGTGGATGTTTTTATTTGTTTAAGGATCCTCATATTAACAAATTTTAATATTTATATCGCTGTAATCTATACAATTAACTATCAAATAATACCAACGGAAACATTTAGGAAAACTGCATAATATTGTTGGAGTTCGTATTACATTAAGATCATGTTACTGTGGAATCCTATTCTGATCTTCGAGTGAGCTCGGCCGCGCTCGTATCCCTTTGGTTCCTTCATTACAACTATTCTCTGTTACGATCTGTTATTTCTCCTTTAGTTAATTATCAAATTCTTTCATATTTTTTATTTAACTATATTTTATGTTAGAGATCAATGTGAAATGGTTAATTGCTTCAAAGAAAAAATTGATTGTACTTTAGAGGAAGCTAATATCGACAATTAGCCATTTGAGCCCGGTTAGAGAACATTAATGAGAATAAAACATACTTAATATTAAAAACTGTTTAATTTTACACTGATGTGATGAATTTAATCAAAATCGTTGTAGCCGTTATCGATAAAATAGTAAAAATGTGTTTCATCGATGATATAAAGTACCACTTCTGCTTTGCCGATTTTGACGAAAAAGTTGCCGTAAGATCTCAGTTATACACAAACCTTAAATATGCAGTTTCCCTTTTATACAACTTTTCGTTTTTGAGCTAGACCTGTAACGTACATTCAGACAAACCATTTTGCGAGACTTGATTATTTGGACTCAAGAGACCTCAAAACATCTATTTCCGTTGAAAACTCAGATTCATAAATTTTCCACGATCGCAATACTGTCCCTTACTATATATTTCATATATAAGTAAGTGAAAGTATAAATCAGGTATTAAAATATTTTGAAAATCATTACTTAACTGAAAATGATATGTCTCTCTATGGTTGATAGAAAATGAGTTTTTATTAATTCCTTATTAGAATTTGGTTAAAGTTTTACTTTGTAGTTTTTTAGTTTTGTAGGCATACTGCCATCAGCCCAGTTTCAGTGGAAAAAGGCATGTAGACAGATCACCCAATTCTACGCTTTCCTCTGGTTTAGACTGTTAGTGAACCAGCCCAGACGTTGAGCTTTTTTCTTTCCTTTGATTGTGAGAACTTATCTCTCTGTCTCCTGAATTTACTTAATACGACAGTACCAGAGGTTTCTGAAAAGTGTTCATTGAATTTTGGATTATTTCATTTTTCTTAAAAACAATAATAGTAGAAATATTTTTGTAATGATGTAGAGATGGTTGACCGTGATATAAGATGAGGAGTTGGTCGGGAGGGGAGGGGGGAGAGAGGGGGATGCGGTCAAATAAATACTAAATTAAAAAAAAAATAGTATTTTTAATTGTTACGCAGGTCATCATCAGGGTTATACTGAAGATACAAAATATAAAAGGTACATGGTGAAAATAAAATAAATGAATTATAAGTAGATATTAAATAAGAAACAGTTGTCTGATAAAGAAATAATAAGATGACATTAGAGATATAGTGGGTGGCAGTGTAGTTAAAATATCAAGTATTATATATATAGAAGATAAAAAAATAAAATAAAAATAATAATTGAAGGAAGTTATTGGTCTAATATCATGGGTAGTAGTTTTTTTTTTTTTAATGTAATTTTTTATTTTTGCCAACGTTTCAACCTAAGCATGTGGGACAAGCACTGAACACCCTCAGTGCTCAAACCACGCTCTGAAGTTGACCCACATGTTTAGGTTGAAACGTTGGCAAAAATAAAAAATAAAAAATTTTTTTAAAAAAGACTGCGTCCTGAATATTCATCACCCATGAAAAAATAAAATAAGTATGAATAAAAATAAAAAACAAAGGAGAATATAGCATGTAAGCTAAGTAAACAGATTGTTATAAAAGATAAGAAATAAGTGTATAACAAACTGGTAAATATTACATTTGATAACTGTAGGTTAACAGATAAAGAAAATGAGTGTTGTATGAATAAAAAAAAAAAAAAAAAACTACACATGAAGAAGGGTCTGGGGTTCAGTACTATTTAGGGAAAGCACTGTTTCTAGGTCAACGGTTGTGCAAGGAGGTGTGATTTGACCTAGATCACGCTCAACCGCCAGGTTTTCCCCCTTTACTAGTTATTTAATTTAGGGTACCCACTTTATAGAGGCTGGGTGTGCCCCAGGAGGGACTTCTGACCCAAGGTCGCCCCACGGCCAATGAAACAGATAAATAAATTTTCTGCCATGAGCCGGGGTTCGAACTCGGGACCTTTGTATCGGAAGCTCAGTGCCCTAACACTGAGCTACCCCGCTCCCATTGTATGAATAAAGAAATTGAAAATTGAATAAGTAATCATATAGTAAAGCTAAAATAAGAATAATATAACATAATAATAAGATATATTTATTTTCACCGTTGTACCTTTTATAATTTGTATCTCTTGAAGACCTGCAAGGTGGGTCGAAAGGTCGGCGTGACAATTAAAAATATTATTTTTTTAAAAATTAGCATTTATTTGACCTCACCCTCCGACCAACTCCTCAAATAATTTTATACATGAACATTATTTATAAATTCTTTGAGAAAGAATCATTCTGTATTATTCAATTGCATATTTAGAAGAAAAATATTAGCGGAATAAAAAAGAAATTACATTCATCATTTATACCCACTTAGTAAATCAGGACCACCTCCAAAAATTTTCGTCATCTCTTTCCGCCCATAGTGGCTTCATTCACTCCGATTCCGCACACTAGGCAGATCGCTAGCATCAAACGCGACACTATCGGCCCAACACAGATTAGGTTTTCCGAGGATTCTCGATCCATATAATTGAATGATCGGTCATCCTGGCAACATTTCTGTACAACCCTGCCACCCTTTGAGGATGACTCTCATGATGTTCTGCTTCTTAGTCTGTGAGTAGAACTCCTTCGCTTTCTGTTTAACATTTCACACCTTCGACGAATAATTATCCTCTCGAATACCATGATGCTTTACTCGTTCGTTCGACCTTGAGATGTGCATATTTCACAACCATAAATCAAGGTAGGGCGGATAAGTTCCGTATGATCTTAACTTTGCAATTCCTGTCAGATAATGGGTTCCGAAGACGTTTGTGTTCACTAAGATCAGTTCCTTAGAATGCTAAGCACCCCCAGTCAATGAAGTCTTCATCTACTCCGCTAAAAAATTTAATTTATTTCTTAATTTGTTTTATGTTATGTAATATATGAAATTTATTTGAGGCGGCCACTGCTATGACTGTTCTTAACTCTACTTAATTCTTCTTACTTCTTCTTTTATTCGTTGGTCATATGAGTCGAAGCAAACAAATCCTTCAATACCTACGGTATCATGTTTATATTCGTATGTTTAAAAAATATATTTTTAGTTCAATCGAATTTCAATAATAAAAGATTAGCATAACTATATTTGTTTTTATGCTAGAAAAGACCATTACAACGTAATAATCAATTAGTTTGCTTCAGAGAACAAAATAGATGGAATAATGTAGCTGTGATGATATACTCCTCATTCCTTTATTCAATATTAATCATTAATATTGCCTGGACGATATAGCCAACTTTCACATCTTCTGGACTACAGATCTTCACTTAACTTACGAAACAAGCGACTGATCTACAACACCTTACTGAGACCAATATGGACATATGGAGCAGAACTTTGGGGTTCAGCAAAACAAACTCACATAAACAAAATACAAACAGCACAATCGAAATTTTACGAAAAATTGTTAACACACATTAATGCACAACGTACATTTGAAATAATATTCAAATACTATACATAACGATTTAAACACCCCAACAGTAAAATCCTACATTTACGACAAGTACACTACATTTTATTCTTCAACCCAAAATCACTCCAATCCTCTGGTTCTTTGTATCTCCTGCTCCCTGATACCTGAAAAACGCAGATTAAGAAGAAAATGGCCAAGAGACCTACTATATCAATAAAAACAAAATCAAGCAAATACACCAAAACAGTATAAATACAACAAATTTACTAGATGCGCAGGTGCGAATTGCATAAAATATAAATAAATAAATATTAACCATTTGAGACTTTATGTGTATTTCCTTCCAACTTTCAGAATATGTAAATTCACCATTTTGAGTACTTTTCTACTTGTACAGTAAGCGTATTGATTCTTCAATGTTTCCCTCATGAAGATCAACAAACAAGAGGAAAGGCTGCGTCTATTGACTAATCCACCTATGCCTCCATCTTGGAAACGGAACAAGAAAACATATACGACTGCTTTGACATTTATTAGTTTTCATTTAATACCTATTTTTTATTAACTAATTTTAAGTTAGGTTTTAAATTCTTCTTTTTCTTATATATGTTCCCTCGCAGCATCTTGATTATTTAATTAATGTTGATGTTTATTTTCTTTAATCAAAAAGCTAAACTTTTCTATTAAAATGCTAACGTTTCTTTAGTCAATACCTTCTGGGCGGTGCATTTAAATTTATCAGAACCCCAATAAAATATATAAGAGATGGGAAAACTCTTAACGAACTATATCAGTATAGACCGAATAATGAATTTTCATTTTAATTTTATATTTATCAAAAATCAAATTATTACATTTTGTCAAAATATCACTAATTTGATTAAATATTTTATTTGTATTTCCTTAAAAAAATCCACAAAAATGCAGCAGGATTTGTGGCGGCCATATCACGTCAATAATGTATAATGTAAAAAGTAACTCGATTTTCACAATAATTAAATATTTTACAGACATCATACTCCGTATGATGCTATCATTATGATTTGATCAATGTTTTTCAATTGATATATTCTTACATACAATACATATATTCTTTATTTAGCCCTGGAACAAATGGTAACAGTTTTAGTTTTGGTCACATTAATGATTTCCTAATCGTTGATAATATTTATTAAATCAGAACTAAAGATATTATTAACATTTTAAAAAGTTTTCGTTATAATATTCAGTTTTTCGTTTAAGGAAAACCGAATTTTCCTGGAATTTCAGTGACCTTTTTCCTGTTGTTCATCAATAATCTAACCATTCTCGAGCAGGAGAAATAATTCTTTTTTTTCTGATATTGTTAAAATATTTTTATTATTTGGAGAATTCAGTTATGAAACATAATAACTGACGAAATATCAACTTTTCATGTTAACTCATTATTACTTAATGCCAACTTTAATATTTAAAAAGTGTTTTGGTTTATTATTTCTAATAGTGAACCATTGTAATCGAACAAACAATTCAAAAACTTTAACCCCCTCTCAAAATTTGTGGTTTTATGTTTCCGGGTACGTAGAGGTCGAAAAACGTATAAAAAAGTTGTCTTTTTTGTTAAACTACTAGACCGAGTTTTTTCAAATCTGGATTTAAAGTCAGAGGACATCCGAGGATGATCCTCCATGGAAATTACTATCCGCCTTTTCCTTCCAAGATGGCGGGCCGAAAAACCTGCATTGCAATAGACTGTAGCGCCTAAACGAATTTATCGATTTCAATGAAACTTGGCTTAGGTCATATTCTCGAATTAAATTTATCTATATAATTTACTTCAACGAAAAGAAGCTAGAAAAAAGTAGCGAGGGGTGGTAAAATGAAGATTCCGGATAACTCAAACACTATACACTTTTTTGTCGATATTGTGATAAGATGCTTCAAAGGTATTTAGATTTCTTTAAAAAAACAAAGAAAGTTCCATCGAAATCCCACAGCACTATTATTAAGGATATCGCGATTTTTAATTATTTTCAATAAAAAAACCATTGTGATCGAACAAAAAATTCAAAAACAACTCCTCTCATAAATTGATGTTTTATGTTTCAGGAAACGTAGAATTAGAAAAACGAATTATTCGTCCGCCGTCCGCGCATTTTCTCTACTTTACCGATTTCCTTCAAATTGGGATTTAAAGTCAGAGGTCACCCGAGGATGATCCTCCTTCATCGACATTACTATCAGCCTTTTCCTTTCAAATTTTCTAAAAAAAACATTCTAATTTTCTAAAATTCTCTAGCTGTTTTTTATATGTTCTACTGCAAAGGTTATGTCCTTTGTTTTGGATTTGGATTTTTGAATGTGTTACTGAGTTAATGTTATTTTTTTTAGCAAATTACTCATGATGAAAAAAAATGTTTAGACCAATAATTGGAATCACCTTTTATTTCTTTTTCTTTGTTATCAGGAAGGTAATGCTACTTTAGATGTATACATTTTTGGAAATAATGAACCATTGTGAAATAATTTGCAGCGTTTTTTAAAATTATATTTAATATAAGACATATTTTGTTACAAATCCATTTTTTTCATTGATCCCTGTTTTGAAATATTTCAGCTGCCTTGTCGATTCTCTTTTGATGGCCTCCTGGACATAGGCCATGTGCTGTTCAAAACTGTATTAAGCTCTTGGTAATGTAATTTGTCTGCAACCTTGTATCTCGTATTCTTGTATTAGGTGTTCTTGCAAGTATTTTTGGGAGGGCGAGGTATTGGTTACTGTCCAAATATGCTCCTTTTATGTTGGCGTTGATAACAAGTTTGTGTAGTGCTACTTAGGTTGATTGGCTCTTATTCCAAATTGGATAAAAAAAATAATACTCACTACAATTTAGTTATTTCTTTTCTGTGAAATAAAGTTGTCTTTATGCTTGATATTATTTTTTTTGACATACATATTGACAGTGCATATTTATTATTTGATACAAGAACCATTATATTCCAGAAACCGTAATTTTATTTCTGATTGACAGTTGCTGAAGAAACTCCAGCGGACCTGGATAAAAGGGTGGTTTTCAAGAAGCCCGTAAAGAAGCGGGCCTCCGAAGAAGAAACAGGTGGCAACGCCAAACAGCAGAAGAGTGACAAGGGTGGGAAATCAGACGTAAGTTCAAAAAGGACCAAAGGAAAAAAGACTGTTGCAGCAGCCAAAGGTCCTCTATCCTTCTGTGACGATCCAGAAGAAGATTGTTGTAAGTTGTAATTTTATATGTATATAATATTTAATATTTACATCTCATAAAAATTCAAAATGTTGCATCACTCTCTACAACCACGACCGTTACCTTCTGATTAAATAATGATTCGTAACTTGTTGTTGAATCTTGTACCTGTAGATACATACCATTATGGCATTAGAACATACAAACTCCCATAAAATGGTATATTGATATGCAATGGTTTATGAAATTGAGTACTTAACTAAAAAAGTTTCTCTTATTTTACTTTCCTCCTTTACTGACCACAGCAAGCAGCTTTAATCAGATGTTATCAATACACAAAATAAATTTCATTCCTCTTGAACATGAAACAATAACTCAATTTTTTAATTTTGTAACTTAAGGTATTTTGTCTCATTTAGTGTAAAGCCGTGCATTAGATAATCTACATCTATAACCATATGCATAGCTTCATATTGTGTTTGTGACATACACTCAGTGTCAAAATGTTAGACACGCCAATTGAAACTAAAAAAAACTTTTCATGTTTTCTTTATTTTTTATTGACATTATTTGTTTGAGCACAGTTTAAAGTATAAATTATGATATTGAAATGGGGACAATCTTCTCAGACCTTGAGGATTATTGAAATCCAATATCAGTAAATATTGACATTTTATATGCGTCAAAATTATACAACACACTTGTTGTTTACTATTTCCTTAATCCTCTGGAGTTGAAATCGGTAAAATACCATTTCTACTTCAGTGCAGTGTTGAATTTGTTTCAAAATAGACCTAAAAAGAACGTGAGTTATGGGGAAAAATAAGTGTTTCACCGATGAAGAGCGCCGTTTGATTTCTTCACTCCACAAGGACGGGATGAGTTGTAGAGAAATAGCCCACCGAATCAAGCGGAGTTTTTCATCGGTCGCAAAGTTTATTCGGCACGGTGAGGCATATGGAACCCACCGTTCTACTGGGAGGCCCCCTGCTTTGACATTGCGAGAGAAACGGAATATTCTTCGAATAGCATCCAACTCTTGTAAAACAGCAAGAGCAATTGCTGAGGAAGCTGGAGTTCAAACAAAACTGAGGAATGTCCAAAGATTATTAAAAAACGCCTGCCAAGTAAGGTCAGTATAGCTTCCTCACCGTTTTCATTGGCTAAAATATATTTATATTACAAGGTATACAATTTTTCGTATGAGAATAAAATACCTGGGAGAAGCCGATCCGATAATATAGTTACCCTACACCCTTCAACATTGACGAGTTTAATATCCACGAATTTCGTTTATCATATAATATTAAAATGCGAAAGATTGCTGTATTTGAAGATTCTATATTTGTTGATTCTTAATTAAAAAAAAATACTAATGCGTACTGAACATGCATATCACTACTGTTTGTGCAAAAGGTCGTATGTAAAATTTGATTGTTTTACAAGAGAGCATAAAAACTAATTATTTCTTTATGATTTACTAGTATAATTTCATATTTCATTGTCCTCTGCTATTTTCCATAATAGCAGACTATTTATATCAGTTGCAGACAACAAAATGTCACCTTTAGCACAAATAGAATCAAAAGTTGAAAATTTTGACATACGACTTTTTGCACTAATAGTAGTGATATATAATTAATAGTTATGAGAAGGAGTTAGTCGAGAGTGGTTGGCAGTCAACTGACAACACTGCCAGTGTTTCAACTGCCTCCCGCAGTACCACAAATTACGCCCTGAAGACGACCTGCAAAGTGGGTCGAAACGTCGGCAAAAATTAAAATTATTTATATATTTTAATTTTTTTTTATTTATTTGACCGCACCCTCGACTAACTCCTTTTCATATCATATCAACGGTCAACCATCTCTACATCATAATTAATAGTTATGTTTTCACTCGTAAAACGGATGCAACAAGAAAATCAATACGAAAAATTCAACTTTTTTCGTTGTTTGTTCAGAGTTAACGAGGCCAAAAATTTTCTTCAGTTAGAACAAAACTAATTAAGCTGGAATGTAAACATATGCATCAAGTTCACACAACTTCGATATTTAAGGAGGAAATCGAACTAAGACGAACTAATGGAACTAATGGTTGAACTTCAATGGAAATAAAGGGAATTACAAATAAGACTTTTAGAGTAAAAATTACTTTAAATTTCCTGAAAATTACACGAAATCTAAGTAACAGCAGTAAGTGGTATGCCAGTAAGGTTTGGAATCGACCAAACAAACAGTATAAATTTATGTTTAGAATAAAACCTTAAAATTTATAACCCCATAACAATATTGTAATAACATAACTCCCATTCCTTATGATCAGTGCCTTCCACATTTCACAGCCATTAATTAATTATTAAATGGAATTCAATGAAATTGATACTAAGTAATTTCTATTCTGTTCTCCAAATTTCCTCCAAGTTTTGGTCAAATCCAATACGCCGTTTTCAAACTATCAAATAACACATTTCCTGATCTGAAAGCAGAAGTATTTTTTTTTTTTTTTTTTGGAAAAGTAAATAAAATTGATGCATATTTAATTTTACGTTTACCAATCCCTAAATTTCCTCCAAATTTGAGACAAATCGAACTTGCCGTTTTAAAGATATAGACATATCAAGGACACACGTTTGCTCATAAACAAGAGAAAGCAATGAACAGAATTCAATAAAATTTACCCTACGTTATTTTATCACAAATACTACCTACCTTTTATCCAAATTTGAGCCAAATCGAACGAGCCGTTTCAGAAGTATTGGTATATCCACAAAAATGCGTTTACGCGTGCTCAAGCAGAAGTGCTGGATGGAATTTGGTATGGAACCATATAAACACCAACCCGCACAATTCCTGAAGATTTCATGAAAATTAGATTAACGGTAATAGATGATATACCTGTTACATCGATTTGACTACAGGCAGACAGACAGACACCGAACCAAATTTGATCCTTCGAAATTTTCGATTCTCAGCACAATTTTTTTTTTACCCCTCGCAAGAATACAATGCTTTCCTACCTTCGGTAGTGAAAAAGCAAAAGTAAAAAACAATAGTTAGATAAAAATTTAAGAGAAATTTGGTAATTGAAGACTAATTTGGGTACCTCTCACAAATTAGCCCGGATGGCCTTTGCTCTTAATGTGATGTCATGGACTGAGGAGTGTAAGAAAGTCATCTTTATTGATGAAAAAAAATCCATCTGGATGGCCCATGATGGATTTTCGTATTATTTTCATGTCTTAAGAAAAGAAGAAAAGATGTATCAACGCGTCAAATTTGAGAAGGAAAAGTTCTGGTTAGGGCATCAATTGGTTACAAAAAGAAAGGAACTTCGGTATTTGTTTCACCAAAAGTAAACTCAGCTGAATATAAAAATTTGTTAGAGGAACAAAAGTTGACTTTTAATGGGTGACAAATATTCAGGATGCAGTCATTATACTGACATGTGTATTGACTTTAATGACATGCCTGAAGGCATACCAGTTTTCCAGCAAGATAACGCCCCAATACATTCAGCAAATATTATTAAAGACTGGTTTACTCGCATCAAAATTGCCAAATTAGACTGCTGTCTCTCCGCACCTGAACATTATCGAAAATGTTTGACGAACTCTTTGAAGAAGGGTATATTCTGAGTCAAGACAGTTCGAAACAGCCGAGGATATGAAATCTGCAATTCTGGCTTCATAGGAACAATTACCTCAAGAAACAATTAAACAATTGTACGATTCATTACCAAACGGTATTTTTGAATTAATAAATGGTGGTGGAAAGGCCACGAAGTATTAAAGTGAGTTTTATTTACTTTTACCTGAGAGCGTGTCTAATATTTTGACAGATTATTTTAAGTGATAGATTATTTTAACACAGTTTAAGAAAAATTTGAAAAAATGGGATAACAATTTTTGAAGTCTGTCTAACATTTTGACACTGAGTGTACTTGAGTAAATAATTGATAAGTATACCTTGGCCATTATTCTTGTATGTATTATTACTGAATGATGTCATTTAGGTAGACCGTTCTTCTGTTAGATGTTCCTTCTATGCAGCGCTCTCAGTCCATACACCCGGTCTTGTGAATGAACTATTGCTAAATTTAAATTCCGTCAAGGTCACACAAGAATATTTCTGTGCGGTATTGCCTTTTATCAGTGTGAAAATCTATGAAGTTATACAACAATTTTGTTTTTATTATTTATAGAATTTGAATAATTGGTGCATTAATTAATGTGCATTAATGCTTGACGTGATAAAGTTGTGTTTTCGGCACAATGTTATAAAGGTTATCTAGTATTGTTATTATTTATACACTATATGCTCCAACAGATTCTACAAATACATCCACAAACCGTGATTCCTTCTACCATTTTCTCATCAAAAACAATGTCCACCTCCCTACAATTCCTACTATCCTTACACTAACCTATAGACCAAAAATTATTTACGCCTTATGTATCTTTATCACTTCTAAAAATATAAACTGTTTAGCATATGAATTGATTGGTATGAAATATCAATAAGTATATTGGATAATATACCCACTCATAAAACCACAAAAATAAAAAACTTAATAAATAAAAATAATAAAAAAGTTATAATTTTCGCTTGCATTTGTTTTAAAAGTTTTACTAAGCGTCTTTTTATCACTCAAGTATTGTTTAGTATGGGGATAAAAAGTAGTTGAAATTTATATGTTAATACAAAATCTTACTCTCTCATATTTAAAAAAAACAAAAAAAAAAAACATCAAATCAGTATAGCTGGTACATAACTCAGTACGCATGCATTTCATTAAGATGTTATTGAAATTGGAATTATAACTGAATAATATAATCGAATAGAAACACGTCTGAGAAATCCTATTTAGTTTAAAAACTTATATAACGTATATGTAAGCTATTGTTTACTGCCTATCACATTTCACGGACATTATTTTAGTAATCTTAATTGTCTAGTGAACATTAATGCCATTGATATCGATATCATAACAATACCAAATACATTATTCGTAACATTTCCTCCAACTATGGAACAAATTG